GTACTTTGATTAACTCTTTTGAATGGACCTAGGGATTAGCACAACATAGAAAAATTGCGAAATTTTTGTCGCTAAGGCACACCGTAGAAAACCAGATATAATAATTATTTATGAGAAAATTATCTGATCTTTGATAGAAAAAAATGACATGATATTTTCTTATGTTAAACGATTGGGTCAAGTCTTATTTTGTAGCAAAATGTGTATGCTTATGGGAATAAACACCTACTGGCATTAATGGTAGGCTCCATTCAAATGATCAGAAAACGTCACATCTGACTGTTTAGTCTCGTTTATTTAAATACATTCATCAAAAAATATATAATAATGCACTTATTTAAGACTCCTTAAATGGGCATTTTATTGTAAGATCGTATTGGTTTCCATATAAATTTCATCTTCAATTACATTTATAAAGATTATAATTCTACCTTGTCGTAGATTCTATACACGATACACGATTTAAAACGTAAAAGAAAGCATATACCCGGTACTTAGTATATGGCAATATGCATTTGAGTTCGAAGTACAATTATTTAGTGATGGTTTTAAGTTCATCTAATTTTTCCACATAAAGTTCAAGTACTTCTCATTGAACATTATGCTTTTCAAATTGGAATAATTGTTCATGTTTTTTGTACAAATAATTTCCTCATGGCACCCCCCCCCTTCAAAAAAAACAACAACAAACAAACAAACAAAGCAAACAAACAAACAAACAAAACAAACAAAGTATAATGCATTATTTATTTTAGGAATATCTTTCCTTATACATTACGAATTGTATAATATTTGCAAATCATGATTCTTAAACTGTATCTTTGGGTAATCTGCACGAAGTCAACAGAAAAAGTCGCATTTTATATAATTACCAATGAAACTTTGATATATATGGACACCGACACGCAACATATATTATAATAAATCTTTTCATTTTACAAGGTGTTTTTGTAGGAATTTGTGCTATAATAGTTCTTCTTCTGGAAATGCATCTTACACAAACTGTTCTCTTTCTAAGAATGAAAAACTTTTAAATTCAGTGTATTTTTTTAAAGATTCATGTTGAAGAAAGTGATTTTGACTTATCTTGCAAACGAAACATTATTAAACTTCTTAATCATTAATATTCTTGCGAATGAAGACATATTATAAGACCAAGTAAAGGTTTTTATCAATTTTAAACCTCTATTCCTTATATAGATTAAATGTACCAGTAGGAAACTTTGCTCAAACTGTGCTACAGCTTATTTAATTTTGTTGAGATGGGACTCTCTCTAATAACAATACATTCATAGACAATTTTAAGTTTTGTGTGAATTTTCAATTATTGTAATAAAATAATGAACAGGAAGTAAGATCGGTCCATTTTTCAGAATGAGACAGAATTTTACATTAAAAATGCTTAAAATTAAGTATTGATAAGTATTTCTTTCATCTAAAAAAAATTCTGAAAAGCATCTAAGTACTTCCTGGAAATGGAAGTGACATAAAGTATCTGAAACATAAAACAATAGGAAATATAAACATGGACGTACAAAAGCCCCTACCATCTAAAATCAATTATTTGAGATTCTATGAATTGAATCAATAAATCTAATAACAACTAATTTTATGCAACAATTTTTGACTGACAAAACAAAATAAGATTTATGGAATATTGAATCCCCTTATGATAAATACGCCCTCTGTTTTTTTTCTATGGATGCAAGGAAATATGCAAAAATGAGATAATTCTATAATCACTTCCTTGTGTTTTTATCCACACAACTCTTTCCAGTTTATAAAAGCGATATTCTAACATAATATGGTTCAGATATGAGCTGAGCTGGTTTATATCGCAGATTTTAAAAGGGGATAAGATCCTAAAATTTTGTTGGACAGTGTTAGCAATTTAAATAAAAAAATGAAAGAATCCTCCGACAAAAAGATATCTGCCATCGTGATAATACATGTAACACAACAAGTATAATCAGAAAATTAAAAAATGAATAAAAATCAAATCAAAAGATGAAACAAAAGAAAAAATTGAGAAGAACAAAGAGGACAAAATAAATTTTCAAATAGATCTTAACTTTTACAAAAATCACATAAATTGATATAAATTTCAGTAACACATGTCAATCATTTTGAAGTAGAATACATGTATCTATCAATTTTTCTATACTTCCAACTTTTATAAATATTTTCACCTCTTTTGAAAGTATCTCGTTTATTAGAGTTTTAATAGTTTTCACATTCTAAATCGTGTATATAAAGCTGTTTTTAGCCAATCATGAATATATACGAATTATATTAGACAATATTTTAAAGGAAACCTAGCTATCACAAGAATGGCAAGAACTCTAGTTGATATAATGTCAAGTAACATATAGTATCAAAAACGTTGTCACACATTGAGATCAGATTAAGAAGTAAACATATAAAATATTGCCCCGTGGGGATCCGGGTTTGAATAGGTCCTCAGTACCCCCTTGCTTGTCGTAAAAGGCGACTAAATGGGGCGGTCCTGCGGATGAGACCGAGGCCCCGTGTCACAACAGGTGTGATAAAGATCCCTCCCTGCTCAAAGGCCGTAAGTGCCGAGCATAGGCCTAAATTTGCAGCCCTTCACAGGCAATGGTGACGTCTCCATATCAGTGAAATATTCTTGAGAGGGACGTTAAACAGTTACAATCAATCAATATAATAAAATAACCTACAAGGTTGACCAAGTCAAAGGTTTATTCAAATTTATTTGTATTTTTTTGGGGTTAGGTTTACTTTTGCCAAAATAATTGCTTTGAAAGCGCTTTATTCAATATCATGTGCGTTGCAAAAAATATTTTGCAAAAATGAAATTCTTTATCTCGGATCCTTTCTAATCCCTTGTTGCACTCATTCTGCATATGGTATGAAGAGGGTATAATGTCAAATTGAGATGTACATATAATTACACACAAAACTTCCTCTTTGAGAACAATATTTTCCTAAATAGAAGAATAAGATCAATGTAAACTTAATGACACTATTTGTTAAATCAATAATTGTCAAGTGGTACTTCAAACAATAGATAAGAGTCTCTTTAGTTATAATATGAGATCTATCCTGTGCCTCATAATACAAATATTAAAAGAAAAATCCATGTTTTTAATTCTTTAGCTAAGCGGTTCAATCATATCCTTTTTGTTGTATTATATTATTGAAAATATTCAAACATTTCATCTTGCATATCAACGCAAGGATGAAGTAAGGAACAGTGAAACTTTTTAAGTAGATTGCCGCTATCAATGAAAGGGTTTACATCCATTGTTTTCTTTTCGGTGAACTTCGAGTGCGTAGTGAAATATATTTTATCAGATAACCAAACAGGAGTTTGCACAACAAATCAACTTGGGTATGTACGAATATATTTTATATCTTTTTCCTTATGCATTATACAAGTGTATTTTATCTATATTTCACCTGTTTAAGAAACAGCAGACAAAGTATTAAATTTCGTTACTGTTCCACGTATAATTTTATTCGGAGATGTTCCCTAGCTCATAAATGACTAGAACCATATCTTTATAATTTAGAAGAAAATATAATTACCAAATTTATTTTTGTAGTTCAGTATTTAAAAGTCCTTCAGGATGGTGACGAATACCACGAAAAACCTTTCTGTTTTAAAAATCATGTCAAAAATCATATGAAGAGTATTTTTTGCATCAACTCGGATTGTTTTGCTCACACATTAACAAAAAATATAATTAAATTACATTTTTTTTTCTAGAGAACTACTTGGATGTTGTGCAAATTACAGAAAAGTTGGCACAAAATGTGAAGGTATTTATAAAATCAATCATAAACTAATAAACAAAACATTTTGTTCAAGGAATTTTGTTATCCTTACAAAAATTATTGAAAGGGACGTTAAACAATATACAATATATACATAAATTATTTTCATCCTATAACCCTGCAGATTTTATCAAATTTAACTTGTAGTTTACGTCTTCATGATACATGTATACAGAAAATATCTTTAACTCCAGAATTACTGGCCAAAAAAAAATTAATAAGACAGTTAAATATAACAAATATATCAAAGATAAAAACTACATTAATTTACTCTCAAACACTCATAATGTTCATGGGTATCAACTATGTTGTCAGTAGAACTAATGTTTTATTCATATGAAGCAGAATTAACTCAAAAAACCTATAATTCGACATTCAGATGGTAGTATATATCCGATGTACTACTGTATCAATTAATAATATTTATTTCCTTTCATATGTCAACTTGATATATCACAGTGTGTTTGAAATGAAGGCTACCACTGAGTCCGAAAAAAAGCTTCGACTATGGATATTTTATTAGAAAAATAAATCAATGATAATGTAACTTAACCACACTCAGTGATAACCGTGATGACTTCAACTTAATTCAATATGCAGGAGCATTCTCTACACATGAACAATTTTTAAACGACACAAGCTATTTACAAAACAAGTTGATAAAACAAGGGTTTCAACAAAGTCAAATAAGCTGAATGACTTTTTTTTTCATTTTTCATTTAAGGTCAAGATCTAGTAAATGAAAGGTGCCTACAGATTTATCAATCTTGACAAATAAATTCCTTTATTGATTCCTTACAAGTTTAGCTTGATCAAATAAGGTGTTTCGGGGCATAATTTGTAGGTTAACCAGATGAAAAACTGTGTTTTAAACTGTCATTTTCAATGAAAAATTAAGAAAACCAGTCATGAATATCGGAGTTTTTTTCGTATTCTGCAAAGGAAATGTATCCAGATTGCCTACAGTTTCTCCGAAAACGGTAATTAGTATGTTCATGGTCTCTTCTTTAAGTCAGTATCAAATTTAATATAGGTATCCGGTTTACTTTTCATATGATTTCAAATTGAATGACATGAAAATACCCTATTTTCTACATAATTCTGCTAAAGCCATAAAGTACGGGAAAAGACAGTTGGAATTGATTATGACGTCATAATGGATCTAGCACCAAAAAATTAATCTCAAGTTATTTACTATATCTTGACCTTAAAGTCCATTATTTACACTCTTGTCAACGGTTTTTCTTCTGTTTTCCCGATCATGACAAGAGGCAGAATGCGGATGTTACCGGTCGATAGCTGATGCTCTCTTCTCTATGGCACCTGATCCCACTTCTTATGGTTTAGAGGTCCGCATTTGCTATGCTCCTAATTTGTATTGTTCGAATAGATTTTGATCATTAATACTGTTTTATCGCCATATAAATTTTGAAAAGGATTTTACCCATCAATAAAATTAAACCAAATTTAAAAGTATCATTATTCCAGTTTAAATCATTTAAATCATTAATAATGAGTTTAAATCTAAGTTATTTGATAGGATAGATATACATCTTGTTCCCTATAAGAATAATTAAAGTACAATTTTCATTGAAAGTCTTCGGAGCTTCATTTAATTTTCATTGAATTATTATCGATATGAATAAATATGAACATATATATTTTTAATTTTTGTGATCAATATGGTCTTAATTAATAATAATATTGATATATTATCCGGTATTTAAAATTTAGGATGTGGATAATTGATTATATCGAAGATATGATAGTTCAGTCAACGTTGACGTCAATTAAGTTACACTGAAACTGGCTCACTTAAGACACAGAATGAATCCAAGTTCATGAAAGCTTGTTTTCAAAAGCAGACTTCTTAATGACCCTTCATTGACAACCACGAATTATTTAAGCTACATACTCGTTCCCAATGTTTGGATTATTCTTAAATTATTTTTTATAATACCAAAAATAAAGTAATATATGTATTATGTTTTAATTAGGAATTTTATTTAATTTATTCTTATATATAAATTATAATAGTTATATGTAACATTAAAAAATATATGAAAAATGACTATAATGCTTATCATACACCTAAGTTACATGTTCGTAACAGTTTTATTTATATCGACAGAATGCTGGCCAGGAACATACGGAATAAATTGCAAATATAATTGTCCGTTCGGTTACTATGGAAGATTTTGCCGCCAAAAATGTCAGTGTTCAACATGTAACCATGTTTCTGGATGTGCAAGTAAGTAAAACATTAGTTTAAGTTATTATTAGTTATTATTAACTTGTATTATGGCTATGGTGTGTTTCATCTGCAATTTAAGTGTATAATAATTAAATATATACCGATGGGCGAAAACTGTGCCGTGTAAATAAATTATTGAACATCAAAGCAATTTCAACATTTTTTTTGTTGTTATCTACAGAAAAAGAACTTTTTTTATATTTAAAGTCAAAACTTTTGTCACGGAAAGAAATTACAACGCGCAGAAGCCATGTATCTCAATATGATTTTAAAGCGAAATGAAAGTGCAGTGAGTAAATGTACTGCTACCACCTTAAACTTCCACTTTATTATCGAAAGATCATTTTTATCTAGATAGGTCCATGGGTATCCTGGGGTTCTCTCTTTGGCAATATAGGTTCTGGAGGATAAAATGTCTTACATCTTGCAAGTAATTTCTACATTTTATGGTTTGAAAGGACTAACTCCCATTTCTGATGGATCGACCCATTATCTCCTGTTTGTCGATTAGACTTGATTTTTCACAGATTGCTATCAGGATCATGGACTTTATGAAAACCGACTTATTTTACTTTTCAATATTTTACAGATCCCTGCAAATCTTAGACCTTGAATACTGTTCGTTATCTTCATATATTTCTGATGTTTCAAATAGTCCAATAATAATACCTTTCTTATCGCCAATTCTGAAACGTTTTACTGATATTTGTATCAGTGTGTTGGGATTCGATTGAATTTTCAACGATTATCATCCTTTTTGGATGATCGCCTAGAACACCGCCAATATGTTTCTATTTCTATAAAGATTTTTTTTTGCAACTGTATGGTCATTTTCGACACCTTTTATACAAGTATACATGAATTATAGTAGACTAATAAGTAATTAATGATTTTTCCTTTCAATTTTGTCCACAGTTTTACATTCTGCCGTAACGGAATCAGACATTGAAGAGGATGTTATTTTTGACTGGCGCACAGTAGTCATATCAGTTTCTGGGTGTTGTGGTGTTAGCATAATTGTTGCTTTAGTTTTCTATTGTAAATTAAGGTACGTATTGTAATAAATTGCGAAAAATAAAGATATTTTATAAATCAGCGATTTCATTTATAGGTAAAAAACTTAACAATTTAGTAATTATCTCATTTTTTTGTTGTTTGAATATTCTTTTTATTATATACTGTTGTTTATGTTGTTTACATTCTACAATACTAGTATTTTGAAATAATTTTTTTTTATGTAGATAAGCATATAATATATGCATACATTCAGTTATGATAATTTAAAGAATATCGTAAATATAATGTTTCACTGCAGCAAATGAGAAATATTGATGAACTAATAATTCATTAAAAAAATTTTCTTCAGAAAAGGCCCGTCTAATCTCCTGATTCCCGTGCATTCCGTGCATAGTAATGGTAAACTTCTTACATAGATCGATTCAGCATTTTATTCTTTATTTGATATATTCAAAAGAATATATGTTGACTTGCACATAATTCATCAATCAAAATTCTTATTGCAATATGACAAATTAATCATTTCAGCTCTATTAAAATTTATGTAACAGACATGTGCGTTGAAGGAATAAAAGTAGATTCAATATTCCTTGAAAAATTTATAAACTATGCTCAAATTATAGTGATCTTAGTCCAAGCATTAGTATGGATAATCTATATTTGTTTTCATATAAATCAGTGATTTTTTTTTTACATATAAAATACTTCTAGATAAATTGAAAAGTGTCTTGATCATGATGAACCTCCAATTCGAAGAAATAAATATCAAAGAAGTTTTATCAATAAACATGATTTATTTTCATTCTTACGTTGATTCGATATATATTCCTTTTTTCTCAAATTAAACATACAAAGCAAACCGACACATCATATGTAGACGTTTTATCTCAAAAGACGTAAATTATAATGTATCGATAAGATTTTATGAAAAACGTGATGACTTGAACTTTTCTATCACAAACTTTCATTATTCGTATAGCAATATATCCTCATCACCTGTATGTGACTTTTATATCTTCAAAAACAAACAAACATTATGTTATGACATGGCTTATTTTTCCCGAAAAAGATATAGTTTATTGAATTGCATTTTCAAATTTATCAAATTTTCATTTTTGAGAGTATTCAGAATAAACTAATCACAGAATCCAGTTCGAAGACATACATATCTATTTTTTTCCGTGCTTAATTAGAAACTATATGTCTGAAAATGTCTTTAAAGATTTGTTCCAGGGACAATAGGAGAAATTAAGGCTGGGCAAAAATATCGATATTTCGGTACATAGCAATACAATGACAAAAAAGTATCGCATTGCAATACGGTTTTGTAATATCGATATATTGGCAAAATGCTTAAACTAAGGAATTTTATCATTAAATATAAAAATAAATGTATGAAATGTTATCAAGTCAAACAGTAATACCGAAGCTGTTTTATGGGGGTATTTTAAAGCAGAAATCTAATAAAATCAAGATTTTTTTCTTTCTTATCATATTTACACTGTAGGTACATGTATATTTTGCATGCAAATTAAAGTGAATGTAATACAAAAGTGCCATTTTGATAACTTTTAAAATACATGTATTGCAATACATATCGCAATACAGTTAAAAATATCGCAATATATCGCAATACGAAATCTTTGGCCAATACCCAGCCCTAGGGGAAATAAATATACTTTTAAATTGCCTGTGCTTAATTATTTAATCGCTCAAGAAGCTGCCTTTAAAGATCGGTTAGATCGGCTATTTAGAAATTGCAAAAATTATTGAATACAAATAAATACGCATATCTGAAATTATGTTTCCTTCCATAAGAAACAGGAGCACGTGAAGAATATGAAATATTTTGTAAAATACACTGAAGAAGTCTTATATTTACTCAGTTATAAATTTTTAAAATAAGTAAACTTTAGATTTTTCTTGAAAGTGAACTTTATTTCAGTGCATAAAGAATCTCAGATCGCAGCTCTCTCATACAAACGCAGAAATGTTTCAATCTCTCAGTGAGGAGAGTGTTTGTGATATCAACAAAGAATATAAAATAATCTGCAATCTGCATATTTTTTTTCTTTTTAAGTGAACAAATCGTTGAAAAGGCTGAACAATTTTTATGACAGGTTTTACATTGCCCGGGTTTATTATTCTTTTCTCTTTTTTTCTTTTAACTACCTGTGGTACTTTGATTTTCTTTCTTGTTTTGGACATTTAATTCATAATTTTGACTAAAACTGTTAATATTCCAAATTCTTAAAAGCTTCGTAAAGAGCGCCAGAAATATCTTAACTAACTTGAACATAATTTCCATCATGATATTATTTTTGAGTTTAAGTATTTAACCTTTAAACATTATTAATCATTGTTAATTACGTGATTTTTCACTATCTGTATAATATATTTTTTAAGTCGGATTCAAGTATAAACTTATTTACATTTTTTTATTCTAGCAGAGGCCATTATTCGCCCACAGCTCAACCATTGCAAACCCAACAAAGAAAACAAATGCTTCACTGAAAATGACTATAAGTGTGAAATGGAATTCGAACCTTATGACATCTTAAATTTAAAAGTTCAAAGAGATACATGTATTGATGAAGAACTTTGTCCTTCTTACGATTCGTCCGTCTTTAATCAATGTGAAAAAATTGAATATGAAACAAAACCAATGGGGAGACATGAAAAACCCACAAAAGAACATACAAATAAACAGACAAATAAAACACAAAAAAGGAAGATATGAAGAGAAAAGTCTAAATTTCCGATCAGGAAGACGAAATGCATTGTCTAGTGGAACGAGAGACTTGAAGCCAGCAAATAATGACAAAAGACAAAAAAGGAAACAAATTGATGAAACAATAAAGATTTTGAATGACTTTAAACCAAAAACTCAGGATAACAGGAATATTGACATAGAAACTAAAGATACTTCACTACACCCTAAAACACAAAATAAATCATTGTTAATGTATAGCTTTGCTTCTTCGACAGAGATTGTTTGACTTAAAACAATGATTATATAAAAAAACCGTACTGATATGTTGGTTGGATTTATGTTTTATTTAATGGCACTGATTTTATTAAACGCTTATGGTATTCTTCCAGCATTCACGTTAGTATTTGAAGCTTTTGTTCATACCTTAACGTTGTCAAAACTCTTTCAAATATGTATTTTGTTGATATGGAAGCTTGATGAATGTCAGAAATATAAATGAGTTATTTTTTTTTTATAATTTGTATATGTAAATAATGAATATACATGTTGTTCATGCAATTCTTTACTTTGTATACTTATTAATAATACGACGGTCATTCAAAAATACCCAGACAATGTTACTTATCCTCATATTATTATAACAATATTAAAGTTGAACAGATAGAAGGCATGCTAGACCATTTTAAAACCAACATGTTTTGTTAGCACGGAGCAACGTCAGAAACAAGGGCGAGAAAGTTTCACAAAATCACTCTGCCTTTTGATTTCGTATATGGTTTGTAGCGTCTTGTCCATCCATTAAACGTATGCATGTTGATGTAAACTTCTGGCCCCCTTCAAGCCATTTCTCGGATTGTTGAAGTGGTAGAGCGAGTTTGACGAGAGATTTTTAATATTTGCAAGTGTGATGCACCCTTTTTGTTGCACTGTCTGTAAACAGAGACCTCAAAAGACTGACCACAAGAAAGAATATGGTTTCAGAGAAATTATTTCACGGAGTTTCCGACGAAAAGTGGATATGATTGACCTAGAAAAATTCTTGATGGTACGATATGTTCCTTGTGTATTATTAGGAAGGTATATTTTTTTATTAAAAGATAATAAATAACGTCAGATGCCTGTTGGCTATAGTTATTTTAAAGCGCATAATTAGCAAATAGCTCAATTTTTGCCTACTCCGTGACCCCATTTTTGCTGTTCTGGATCTCAAATAACTAATAGGAATATGATGATAAAATCAAACTTTTTGACTCACATAATTTGTATATAATGTTAAAATATGTATATCAAAGAACTATATTATTTCAATAATAGCCTTTATGTAATCTATGATTTTTCTTTAAAATTCATTAAAAAACTGTAATGTTTGTGACTAGTTCAACTTTCATGTTTGTTTGAGTCTTATTGTGTTATTAGCTGTCGTTAAATAAAAAGTACTTTTATTGTAAAAAAAATCTTGTTTCATGTTTGTTTGATTGTGTTATTAGCCAAAAAAAGTGGTAATTAGCCAATCGTAACGCTTATTCAAATCACGTGACACAAGATAGCGTCTTTTCACTGATTTAGAAGTGCCAAGAAATTCACAAATTTGTTTTGAGAAATTTACGTCTTCAGGAGTGTTTTTATCGTTTTTACGAACTTATTGCATTGTTTTTACCAATCGGAAGACTACAAAACAAGAATACATCAGTGAAAAGTAAGTGATTTGCGGATTTTTTGAGTGTTTTTGTCCCAGGGATAGACAGGCTCCGTCCAGCCAAACAGTGTTACGCAATGGCGGCCGAACCCGAAGTAAACATTCGAACTGTGTGCATCTTAGGACATTCTTATATCCGCCGTTTGAAAGAATTTATAAATGCAAGTGATCTTAGGACTAATTTAAATTTGGATATGGACTCCTTCAAAGTGGATTTCAGATCACGCGGTGGTTTAACATTCAAACGTCTAGCCCACTGTGCAGAATTTTTACGGTTTGACGCACCCCCCGATATTTGTTTTATACAGATGGGCAGTAATGACTTGAGTCTAAACAATCCTCAAAAAGTGTGTACGGACTTAATTTCTTATGCACAATACTTGCGCGATGGTGTTGGAATAAAAACTGTAATTGTTGGACAGTTATTACGCCGTCAGCCATGGGCTTCTCGTGACAAGTTCAACGAGGATGTTGTAAAAGTTAACAATCTTTTGAAAGAGGAAACAGGGAAAGTAGATGGTGTGTATTTTTGGCCACACAGGGGATTTTGGGCGGACCTGTCCTACCTGGGACGTGATGGAGTTCATATTGAGGGTGACTCCAGGCATATGAAGAAATATATGCATAGTATTAGAATTGCAGTACTGCAACATTCAAGATGAGTATGTTACTATAAATTTGAAAAAAAAAAAAAAAAAAAATGCAAGTAATGCTATGATTTAAAACATACTTTTCTTTGATAAAGTGTTATGTGAGAAATGAATTGATTCCACACAGACACACGCAGACTAGTGTGAATTTTCAAGAAAATTATTAAGTATATGTCAAACATATAGTTTAGTACATTCTCTTTTACAATAATGACAGGTTAGAGTCACTTGTATTGTAAAGCGCACATGAAATTTTGTGTTTTGTTTTTGTCATTTGGGTAAGTCACACGCTGAGTAGTGTGCCCCTATTTAGGCACAGGCAGAGATATGTGCCCTGATTTAGACACACGCAGAGTAGTGTGCCCCGATTTAGTCACACGCAGAGTAGTGTGCCCCGATTCAGTCACACGCAGAGTAGTGTGCCCTTAATTACACACACAGAGTAGTGTGCTTCTTTTTACTTTAGTGACATGAAAGATGAAACACGCAGAGTAGTGTAATATTATATTGTCATAACAATTGGACATCATACAGAGTAATATGTCCTTACCTATACACATAATATTCAGTCGCACACAGAGAAGTGTGCCCTTATATAGTCATAATAGACAGACACACGCAGAGTAGTGTGCATAAGTTATATAGACACAAAAAGTTGTACACACGCAGAGTAGTGTGCCCTTAGAGACATAATATTCAAACACACGCAGAGTAGTGTGCCATTACTACTTTTGTAAAAATAGTTGGACACACAAAAACTTGTGTTCCTGAATCCTCGTATGCAATAAGAATGTAAGACAAACTACATGGACTATCATATGTCTTTTGATTCTGAATTGTGAACAGTTTTAAATATTGTCAATTTAAGATAAAGCAAATGTGCAAAATATGGTAATTGTCAGATGCTGAAGATTTTATTTGGTTAACATCAAATGTCTGTGAGATTTCACTGTTGAGTTGACCTAAAAACAAAATTTTACAGTGCGTACAGTATTGTTTTCATATGGTAGAGATTTCAACTTGATGGAAGTTGCTACCATATGTTAAAGTTGTAACTTAATGTAAACAATTATTGATTGTTATTTGGACACTTGTAGGTAGATCATGCCTAAACGGAGAAAGGCACCAGCAGCCCAAGGGGATCCCCAGGCAGCAACGCCTAGCAACACAGTCACCCGGAAAAGACAAAAAACAGTTTCCGTGCAAGAAATTGACTATCAGAAACTGGCGGAAGAAATTCTGAAACAACAAAGAGCAACCAGCTCATCTGCTAGTGCCACAATTTCAGTGCCACCAGTAACAAGTAATGTCAGTAATGAGACAGTTCTAACTCAACCAACGCTCCTGACAGCTGCACAATTGCCAACTGCCCCGGTACAAGAGCCAGCGCCAGCAGTAATTCAAAATGCCTCAAGCAATGCCACACAACAAATGCCTGCCATAACAAGTCCGAGCACATCTACCTCAAGCAATGCCACACAACAAATGCCTGCCACAACAAGTCCGAGCACATCTACAAATGCAAACAACTCATCCACAGATGTGACAGTGTCATCATTGGTTTCTCAAATTTTTGGGACAAATGAAGGTGAGCCAGTGGGCACAGTTTCATCTAGCTTAAACAAAGATAAATCTTTCATTTCTGTAACTGACGGGATTCCTCTTGGTGCGGCCATATCAGCTAAGGTAAAATCCAAAATTTGGTCAAATGAGTTCATTGATTTACGGTGTCTTTTGCCGCACCATGAAGAAAACCCTCTTACTTTGTTAATATCACCAGGTGTGATCAACTTGCAACAAAATACAAAAACAAAAAATCCCTTATCAATTAATCAGTGGACTGATGCCTTTTTAGTTTTTATTTGCATTAAAATTGAAAAAGACCCATCAGAGGCCCCTCACCTATTAAAGTACATGAGTTTTGTTAGGGAACTTCACAAGCTACATGGCGATTCAGCCTGGAGGGCTTATGATGAATCCTTCAGAAAACTAAAAGAAACAGCTGAACTTCCCTGGCAAAAACCAGTCGAGGAATTGAGGGGAAAATGTATCACGTTAAAACCTGCCCCTTACAGTCAGCCCTTTCGTACCAAACAGGCGGGGAGAACAAAATTCTGCTTCGCCTTTAACCAAGGTGACAAATGTAAAACCACACCATGTCCCTTCACACACATCTGTCAAATATGCAGGGGACAGCACCCAAAACACAAATGTAGGTCTCAACAATCTGCAGAGTCACGCACTTCCCACGCCAGTAAATCCAAACAAACTTAGTGAAGAATTAGAGGGTTATGACAAAAACCTAAAACAACTGTTAGTAGAAGGTTTCAAATTTGGTTTCTCTTTGGGTTGTAGCACTACTCCAACTGCACGTTTGTCCAAAAACCATTCATCAGCATTAAATCATGGCGATATCATAAATGCACATATCCACAAAAGCTTAGAACTTAATCGTATTGCAGGCCCCTTTCCTTGCCCTCCTTTTGATCCTTTCATATCATCCCCTTTGGGGGTGGTGCCTAAATCTGAACCCGGTCAATTCAGAATTATTCATGACTTATCTTATCCCCGAGACAATTCAGTCAATATAAATATCCCAAAAGAAAATTCAGTTGTCCAATATGACTCCATCGACTGGGTAATACATCTTGTCCAACAGAATGGAGCTTATTGTCTGATGGCAAAAACAGATATTCAGGATGCTTTTAGAATTATCCCAGTCAATCCCAGTGACTACCATTTGTTGGGTTTTTCATGGCAAGGCCAATTTTACTTTGATAAATGTTTGCCTATGGGGGCTAGTAGTTCCTGTCAAATTTTTGAACAACTTAGTGTTGCATTACAGTGGATAATGCAATTTAGATATCAAGCTGGAGGTATGTCACATATCCTTGATGATTTCTTCTTCGTTGGGCCAGCTGGCTCCGACAATTGCAAGAATGATCTCACAAATTTTCTTTTCCTTTGCAAAAAAATTGGGGTACCCATTAAAATGTCAAAGACTCAACCCCCCACTACCAAAATCACTATCTATGGCATAGAAATTGACTCGGTCAAAATGGAGGCACGTCTACCTCCTGTGAAAGTAGAAAAAATAAGGAAAAACCTAGGAGAAATGAAAAACAAAACGCGTAGCACATTACGTGATCTACAGTCTTTAATAGGATTGCTCAATTTTGCATGCTCGGTTGTAATCCCAGGTAGGGCTTTCCTTAGACGTTTAATTGACCTAACCTGTGGGGTTTCAAAGCCTCACGAGTTGATTGAACTCACAGAAGAGACAAAAGAAGACATAAACACTTGGCTTACCTTTCTCGAAACATTCAATGGGAAATCTGTTTTTCTGCCCCAAAAATGGTTATCGTCTGATCACCTTACTCTCTTTACTGATGCGGCGGGATCTATAGGGTTTGCAGCCATCTTGGGTTCTGAATGGTTTGCATCACGTTGGAATGATGACATGACAGAATATCAAATAGCCATTAAAGAATTATTTCCCATTGTAATAGCAATAGAGATTTGGGGGGATAAGTTAAGAAACAAAAAAGTTCTCTTTATGTCAGATAATTTAGCAGTTGTACAAATTATCAATAAACAAACGTCAAAAGAGAAAGTCATCATGAGGTTGATACGTCGTCTGGTATTGTCAACCCTAAGATACAATGTGCATTTCAGAGCAAAACACATCCCAGGGAAGCACAACATAGCTGCTGATCACTTATCTCGTTTTAATTTTCAGGCTGCATTCAGTTCCATGCCTCATTTAAACCAACAACAGACCCAAATACCACTGAAGTCATTGGCAATTTGAGTCAGCAAGCACACCACCTTCTGTCAGCAGCCTTGTCCAACACCACCAAGTCTGCCTACAAAAGAAGCTGGGATTTGTTGCTACAGTTCAACCCCACTGTGACCTCGCTACCAATTTCCTCTTCAGTGACAGCGAACTTCATTGCTCACCTCTTTACCATAGGTTATTCCCCTAGTAGCATATCATCTCATATATCAGCCATAAGCTATCTACATAAAATTCTTGGTCTCTCAGATCCATCAGATTCATTTTTGGTCCGGAAAATAATGCAGGGATGTCACCGTTCGGCTCCTAACAAAGACACCAGGTTACCAATAACGGGCCCCATTCTACATAACTTAGTTTGCGGTTTACAAAAATCTGTGCAAAATCTACACTATAGAATCATGTTAAAGGCCATTTTTCTGTTGGCATTTAATGCCTTTTTACGCTTGGGTGAACTTGTAGTAAAAACAAAAGGTTCGTTAAACACAGTCATTCAACGAGAAGAGGTTTCTTTTGAATTTTCAAACAACTCCCCCTCTGCAGTTGTCCTATTACTGAAAAATTTCAAAACAAATAAGAAAAAAGACCTTTTCCAGATTCACCTGAGAGCCTTGGACAACAGTGACATGTGCCCTGTTTTGGCATTATATCTCTATCTTCAAGCCTTTAATCACCAGTCTGGTCCCCTCTTCCAATTTATGGGAGGTGACCCAGTTCCTTATGCATTTGTTTCAAAAAATTTACACAACACAGTTTTGTTCATTGGTTTAAACCCTGCCCTGTATAAAGGTCATAGCTTTCGCATAGGAGCTGCAACTCATGCAGCCCAGCAAGGTTTTTCTGAGAATTGCATACAGAAAATGGGCAGGTGGAATTCAGATGCTGTACGGAGATATATCCGTTTACAGAGCTTTGTTATTTAAAATGTTATTTGAAAGCATTCCAAAACTGCTCTGTGAATTCGAATCTAGTCCTGTAAGTCCCTATGGTTAGATATTGTCACATAGGTCAGAAGTAAACTGCTATGTAATTTTCCTAATCAGTCTTTCCAATTTTGCCTCACGCCTAAATACACAGGTCAGAAGTAAACTGCTGTGTCAATGCATACTTTTAAAATTTTTACATACAAAGCTTGCACAGGACAGAAGTAAACTGCTGTGTAAACATTCTGTTTTTTCCTCATACCATTTAACATAATTAGATTCATTTGTTTTAAAATAATTTTTCTTTCTTACCACTTATAACACAAACTGTGCCTACTGGTTCATGTTTCACCATCATGTTTTGAAGCAAATGATTTGTATTTTTCGTTCATTTATGTATTGGTAATAACTTTCAATATGTTGCTACTCCATTGTATTTGACATTCTGAGCCTTGCTAATTTTATTGTTTGTGTTGTATATTATAATGCTGCATAGACTGTACGATTTTATGTTATTATATGCTTATTATGCTATATAGACTGTATGATTTTGTGTTGTTATAATGCTGTGTAGACTGTATGATTTTGTGTATATATATAAGGTTCTGTAGACTGCCTGATTTTGTTGATCTGGCTAGTCCACCTGTTTTGGCCTTGTTTTTTGCAAACAGCTTTTCATAGCAGTTTGCTTTTGGTGGCAGCTTTTTGTTTTGACAACTTTGTGGTTTATATACTTTTTATTTGTCAAAATATTTTTGCCAAAGTAATGTTTGTTTGCAACAGGGGAGATACCGTTGCCAAATTTATTGTTCTTTGTACTCAGGAAATATCCCGGTGATCTCCCCTTAACTTTATCTGTGTTATATACTTATTGTCATTTAATAAATGACAATTCTCACTCAGTATACATTGTTTGTTATATTTCAACTTTTGCGGTAGTCTAGCCAGATCACTAGGGTTACATAATACAGCATTATTGTAAATAATAGCCTTTATGTAATCTATGATGTAATGTAGTTCAACTTTCATGTTTGTTTGAGTCTTATTGTGTTATTAGCTGTCTCCTTTAGAAAAAAGTGGTAATTAGCCAATCGTAACGCTTATTCAAATCACGTGACACAAGATAGCGTCTTTTCACTGATTTAGAAGTGCCAAGAAATTCACAAATTTGTTTTGAGAAATTTACCCACCCTCCGTCCCCCTTCATACTCCATATTGTAGTCTCAAAATTATGTTTTGTAATTTATTTATCATAATATATACCTTGTGCCATCTTACTTGCCATCGTGCAACTTTTGTCTTGTCATTTTATTAATTTTTTCCTCTTTGAATACTTTGTTTGCAGCTTTTTGTTTTGACAACTTTGTGGTTTATATACTTTTTATTTGTCAAAATATTTTTGCCAAAGTAACGTTTGTTTGCAACAGGGGAGATACCGTTGCCAAATTTATTGTTCTTTGTACTCAGGAAATATCCCGGTGATCTCCCCTTAACTTTATCTGTGTTATATACTTATTGTCATTTAATAAATGACAATTCTCACTCAGTATACATTGTTTGTTATATTTCAACTTTTGCGGTAGTCTAGCCAGATCACTAGGGTTACATAAAAAGCTTTAACGTTATTGTACCCATATTAATTAAAAAGAATTTTATCTTAAATCATGTATAGGAAGTCCTCGAGGGGAAACATGCCCTGAAATATGAATATTTTAATAACATGTAGGTTGTCCTTGAAGATATATTTAAACAAAAAAATTAGGTGCATTTATTCTTTTGAACCAAAATTCAGAAGAAAAAAAAATATGTTTTTGAAAACCATTCTATATAAATACAATCAGCATCACATTGTTTTTGATGACGAAAACAGTTTAATTTTTATGGACTTCTGAGCTTGAATACTGTTCGTTATCTCCATATCTCGTATTTTATTGAATAAGAATAAGAAAAGAAAAAAACTACACATTGTGTAAGAAATAAATGTAATTCCATTGTGTTGTGCCTCTTGATATTCACCTAACTTGTTGCATTTGAAGTTAAACTTATAATGTAGGAGGGAAAACTCTTGCAAACCTTAAATCTACATTAAAATATATACAGATTATCTTGAAATCCTTAATATTGAAATTGACTGAATCATGCTTTATCAGTCTTTCATTTTTTTTATTTTGAGGCGAGCTTTTTACAATGCTCTGAAGACATAAATCCAATACCAAATGGACTTTTTGTTAATTTTAATACATGCAGTAAAATGTAAAATTATAAAACATGGCAATGCCAATTTCAGCATATAATATACGTATATAATTAAGAATTCACAGATTTCTATTACAATGTTATTCTATTAAATTCAATGGAAAAGGAATGGTAACGACCAATTTGGATCCCTTATTTGATTTACAGAACACTTAGTTTGATAAACTTGTGATAGTCAGTAGTTAAGAAATTAAAATGACGCTTGTTTTCAAACCAGCGGTAATTTTGATTTGAGGTCACAAGATACTACATAGGTAGGATATTTTCCTTAATTTCCTTAATTCTGGTTGAAATTTGTCATATTCGAGATGCATTTCTCTTTGAGAAACACAGAGCACAAGCTTCCTAACTGAGATTCTTTCGCATTAATGCATTTGATGCTAGCGTATGAAATATATAAATTTGGTAGATAGGCAAACGTGTGCTCTATGTTTTCTGAAACAAAATGAACCAGCAAATCTAGGAAAATTGGCCTAAAATTGTGAAACTCGCTAATTTATTTATTTTCTTACCTTTCTGTGACCTCCCATAACTCAGAACAGATACTCATTTTCTAGCAGGGAGGACAACGGAGTTTTATTTATTAAATTGTTGCATCATTCTAAAGAGATTCAAAACCAGGACCCAAAAGGAATCTTAGCCTATCTGATCCTTTGTTCGCTTATCAAAAAAGAAAATGTTCAAAATCTCATGTCAATGTTTACTCCTTAAATATATTATCTATCCAAATTGAGTTGATTACCCTTACCTTTACTGATTTCCTTAACTTCAATTCCTCCTGATATATTTTAAAATCTAAATATTTTATCATGGACAACTGCTTTTTTCAATAAAAATCGCAAATCGGAATTTTTCACATCATGTGGTTGGTCACTTACAGATTTCTTCGTTGAAATCACTCTGATTTTTTACAAATAAGTACTCTGAAGTTGATATTTCATGGATGGGACTTCTCATAAAACATTTATAAAGTCATTGTTTACCAAGAAAGTTGGAATTCCGATAGCTTAAAAGTGTTTTCCTATATCAGCTGACCTGTATGACATTCCTATGAAGCAAAAGTTACAAAACGTCTACATTGGAAAAGGAAAACACTTTCTATGGCCTTCAAATTGACATTCCGATATATTGTCTATGTTTTTTTTTCCATTGTCAACAGTAGATAGTGGGTTGTTACGCTAATGTCATCTCATTCGTCACATGATTTAGTTGTTAGTTCGTGGTAATCGTCTGAAGTCAGTCGCCAGTTATACAGTTTGATAAATTAGGCTTTAACGTTAGTTATAAAATCACTGGCCATTTTGAAAATTGCAGAAACTTGACAGGTCAATATTTATTTCTGGGTATAGACGAGGGGGATCTGTACCAAATTTGTCTCACTAAGTGAAATATTTTAACAAATTTCCACAGCATCTTCTTCACTTGTAAACTGTGCTTCAGATAATTAACGACTTTAAAAATTTCAAAATCCCTCTTATTTACATGTTTGTCAAATGAAAGTGATTTAAAAGTGGTTCATAGAAAAAAATCAATCTTTCCGCCAGCACTTGATCATTTCATAAAAATCAATATTATTAAAGTAATTATTGAATAGTCTTCCTCTTTTATTCTTCCTGGTAGAATGCAGAATTTTCCTTTTTTCGATCTAACAACTTTCGGAATAAATGACCACATCTTAGATCTTGTCATGTTACAATCATAAAATGTATATAACAAAGGAATTTATTTACCTTAATAATGGATAGTGCACTTAAGTTAATCCTTCTGGTAGAGGAATTATTTGTACTAAACCTGGGATTATCAACTAACCAAAAAGGAATCTGTTCGAAAACTGTTCTTGGGTGTGTTATTTGTATATTGTCGAACTTATCTCCATTCTTTTAGTAGATTTGTTTTGAAAATACTACAGTAGAAAATTCAGTGTTTATTATTTTTTAAACTATGTTTTCAATTCATATTTATAATCTCAGGGAACCAAAATGTTGTGCAAATTATCGAAAGATTGGAATGACATGTGAAGGTAAATATGATTAGTTATTACTAAAATATGGTATTGATTGGCCTCTACGCTCAACTCAACTGAAAATTCAATATAGAACACGTTTATGTTATCCATATACATGTAAATTCACCATTTAAATTTACTTCTTTATTCTTAACAAGAACCCTTAAAATGAAATATATTGAAATAACGAACAGTATATAAGCTGAAAAGTCAATAGAACAATACAAAATAGTAGCTGAGTAAACACGGACCCCCAAAACATCAGAGCAAACAATCCAAAACTTTCAGATATTTCTCTGGAAATAAGATATAGAGTATAAGATCATACAAAATCATGCTAAGGAAATAAATTGTGAAATAGCAGCTTGGAACAAATTGTAAGTTTTCCTTTTTTCAAATTAAAAAAAGAAAAACTGTATAATTGCATTCATGTGTTTATCTTTTAGAATCAAAATTATTCACACTGTTGTCAGATATAAGAGTGTCCACGATAAATTCATAAATAGGAATGTATTTAGAAAATAATCCTTTTTAAAACATTAATTTTTTTCAAAGAAAATCAGTTTAAATCACAGACATTGATGAAGGAGTATTAAATCCCAGACATTCATGAAGGAGTAGATTGCGACAGCAATTAAAAATTCGTATGCCAAAAGGAGATGAGACCTTTCTTCTTTCAAGTCAGTGAAGCCAAATTAATTTTTCTCAAGCAAACAAAACGATATTACATGTAAGTGTAAAATGAAACATAAAACTATGTAGCCATACACATATTCTCTAATAAACAACAGAACTATTTATTAGTTCTGGTGATATCAGGAATAACTAAGATGAAATGGGATGCAGAAGAAGCGCACATGCGTCAATAACATGAAGAACATAGTACGTTTATCAAAAACTATTTTTTTTAAATAATTGTGCCAGAACTTGTTTATAAATCCTATGATGGTTGTAGGACTTTCTATAATAGATGAGAGATATAGAGTTTGAAACTTGCTTGGATTTAATTACGAGAATTGTGAACATAAAATATGTTATTAAAGTTAAAGTTGATCATTTTCAAATACAATTGTTCGCATAAATTAAGCACAGTTAACATGTAAAATCTTCAAAGCATAAATTGAAGTTAAATGTATTTGATACAAGATGAGTCTTCTGCGTTAGTTTTAAATCGGAATAATTTAATTTAAATTGTAACACGTCATTTGATTGGGTAAAAGATTTAATCCATTTCGTATAACATAACGTCACAATGAGATACGTCAAAAACGTATTACTCCGCCTGATGTTTTTTTTTAAAATAATGCTCAATTTAAAGCTTTTTTCCGGAGGAAATATTGTCTCATTGTCTACATTGAAATTAAATTATAAGAAATGAAGCTTATTTCAACTTATGTTATCCGATATAACAAAACTTGGGGCAGTTTACTCTTATTTATAAACCGCTTCGCGGTTTATAAAGCGTAAACTGTCCCAAGTTATGTTATATCGGATAACATAAGTTGAAATAAACTTCATTCCTTAAATAAAATGTTCAAACACGTAATTTGAACTGCAACAAAGCATCATCAGTGATTATGATACAATTTATAAACTCATCTAATTTTTGTCAGACATATCCATTTCCTGTATCTAGTTGGTCCTCAAATTGGCCACTGTTATCTTTTTTAAATAATACACAACCTGTCATGATAATATAAAATAATAAAAAGATTTCATCATTATACGAGGTAATTATGTCATGCATTTTTAGCTCACCTGAGCCGAAGGCTCAAGTGAGCTTTTCTGATCACATTTTGTCCGGCGTCCGTCTGTCCGTCTGTCTGTCCGTCTGTCTGTCTGTCTGTCTGTCTGTCTGTCTGTAAACTTTTCACATTTTCGACTTCTTCTCAAGAACCGCTGGGCCAATTTCAACCAAACTTACCACAAAGTATCCTTGGGTGAAGCGGATTCAAGTTTGTTCAAATGAAGGGCCACGCCCTCATTCAAGGGGAGATAATTGGGAATTAATGAAAATTTGGTGGCATATTTTAAAAATCTTCTTCTCAAGAACCACTGTGCCAGGAAAGATGAAACTTATGGGGAAACATTCTTAGGTAGTGTAGATTCAAATTTGTTCAAATCATGACCCCCAGGGGTAGGGCGGGGCCAAAATGGCCGACCAAAGTCTTACATAGAAATATATAGGAAAATTCTTTAAACATCTTCTTCTCAAGAATGACAAAGCCATAATTCATCATATTTATTATGGTAGCATGCTCAGGTAGTGTAGATTCAATTTTGTTCAACCCGGGGGAAGCGCGGGGCCAAAATGGCCGACCAAAGTCTTACATAGAAATA